TGTGGTCCATTTAATTTTAAAATTAAATCATATTCGATTTCAAAATTAGGGTTCTTCATGAATTTAATCCCCAATTCAATTTAACTTTTAAATTAAATAATTTGATCATGAAAAATTCATAATTTAACATGAAATCAAATAGATTAAAATCTTTAAAGATATAATTATCGAATTAAATCAAAACTAAAACACAAAATTTCACAAATTAGGGTTTGAAGTTTTGAAAATTTCGAAATTAGAGTGAGGGGGTCGAATTTTTCGAGTGCTTTTAGGGTAAAAATCGGATCACTTGAAGGCTAATTCGGAGCAAATTAAACAACTTTTAATGATTCTATATTGTTAAATCACATTTAAAATAATAATTGACCCATAAATAAATTATTCACTCCTAATTGAATTAAAATTGTGGGCTATCAAAGAATTAATACTCAATATATGTACATGCATAGGCTAACTATACCATTGTAGGAGTTTATAGGTACGAATGCGGAAAACATGAATCATATTCATATAGCACCTAATCCCAAGATCATGCATAACACATAAAGAATTAGAATTAATACATTTGAAGCGTGATTCCACGTGCGATCGAACAAGAATAAGGGAGATAAAGAACCTCAAGTGTGATTCCTCTACTTGGTCCACAGGCACAGATTAAGACCTCCACTAATGCTAGTTAGTCGCAATCGAACAGTTCAATTGACCTTCTATGGAGAAGAACAAGCAATGAACAAATCACGAACCACCACGAGGGGAGGGGATAGGCGTGTGACACAGAGAGGGGGAGAGAGAGAGAGAGAGGGTTTGGGATTACTGGTTGTTTGGTGCACAATTAACTGTTAATTGTGTTGTATCATACAACCCTAGGCATGGACCTTATTTATAGATCTCATCTCTAAATAAGAGTCCATGACAAACCCCAAACCCTAAGTCTAATCTAACTATGCTAGCCCAATCCAATTCATGATTTGTTACTTGTTCATGAGGTCCATAAATGGGCCTCTAACTTGCTTAACCCAATACCTTTGTTGTGTGACCTCATAGGAACCATTCTAGTAGGCTTTGGACTATTAAACTAGCCCAAAGATCAATGATCATAGTCTAGCAACAGATAATGACGACCCAAATAAAGAACGAACTTATTATCTCCATAATAGTGATCCTTGATATATCTAGTAATTGAACTTATCGAAGACATAATTCCTTCAAAACATTCATGGGGTGAAGATAGGTAGACATGTTGAACCTATTTCTCATCTCTTTTTTTTGCTGATGATAGTATATATGCTAGTTATAAGAGCAAATGAAGATGAAACCGACATAGTTCTTGATATTCTTTCGACTTATGAGTTGGAGTCGGGCCAAATATTGAATATGGAAAATTCGGAAGTGTCCTTTAGCCGAAACATTGATTGTGAGAAGAAAAATACGCTTATGATGAAGTTATCTTTTAAGGTTGTCGATAGACATGAAAAATATTTAGGATTTCCATCTTACATTGGAGGTTCTAAAACGTAGATTTTTCAAATTATTCAAGATAGGGTTTGGAAAAAACTCAAAGATTGGAAGGAGATTTTTTTTTTTTTTTTTTTACTACAGGCTAGCCGGGAAATTCTCATTAAATCTGTAGGAATTTAGATACTCCAAGAGGAATTGCATGAATTATATTCATAAACCTCTAATAACTAAGATCAATGCACAACCCATAAAGAACATATAATTATACCTTTGAAGAATGATTCCGATCCATGTGTGATCGAGCAAGAACAATAGGAGAGCAAAAAACCCAATTGTGAATCCGCTACTTAGTCCACGGGCACAGATTGAACCTCCACTAATGCTAGTTAGTTATGATTGAACGACCCTTTCAATCAACATTCTACAGAGGAGCAAAACGAATTAACCTCGAACAACCACCACGAGCACGACGAGCCACCAAGGAGAAGTGGTCGGTCGTATGGATGGGTGAAAGAGGGGAAGGGCGTGTGCGTGAGAGAGAAAGAGATTAGGATTTTTTGGAAATTTGGTTGCCTCACTTCATAATTCACTGTCTGTTAATTGTGACTTGTTTTAACCCTAGGCATGGAATTTATTTAGAGATCATATCTAGAAATAAGAGCCCATGTCAAGTCCAAATTCCTTACAACTCTAAACCTACGCCTTACATGGTTTGTCATAGCCTCATGAGGCCCATTAATGAGCCTCACACTTGTTCAATCCAATACCCTAGTGTGTGACCTCATAAGATCCATTCTATTGGGTTTTGGACCATTTGACTAGCCCAAAGATTATTTGTCATATCTAGAAACAGACAATAACGACCCAAAAGAATGAACTAATTATCTCCATAATAATGATCCTTGATATATCTAGTATTTGCACTTGACGAAAGACATAATTCCATCAAAATCTGTAGCCCAAGCGATTCCTATATATGCTATGAAATGTTTTTCTATTCCCATTAGTATCCTTAATGCAGTGGAAAATATGTGTAGAATTTTCTTTTGGGGACAAAAAAGTGAAGAGAGAAAGATGTGTTGGGTGGCATGGAATAAAATGTATAGAGCAAAAAATCAAGGGAAAAAGGGGTTCCGAATATGTAATTATTTAACAAAGCAATGTTGGCAAAGCAAGCTTGGCAGATTTTGACTAATGAAAATTATTTAATGTCTCGAGTGCTTAAATGTAAATATTTACCCTACTCCAATGTTTTTTTGATGCGAAAATGGTTTTGGGTATGAGTTTAACTTGGCGTTTTATTTTGAGCTTGCAGAATGTCATTGAAAAAAAGGTAAGGAAAATTTTTGGTACGGTGGGGGATGTAGCATCAACATTTGGGATGACTCGTGGGTTCCTAATTTACCCAATTTTTGTATGCTCTCTGCCAAAGGTGAGGGGGGAAATCTACCAACTATTGTGAATGAGTTATGGGATGATCGAAGGTCAAACCTGAGTAACCATATCAAGAAGGGAGTCACGCTTCCGAATGCTTTTAGAAATGTAGTCAAAGATATCCTACGGATTTAAAAACTTTGTATTTCTTGCTCTTTCTCTTTTGTGAAAAGAATGGATAATAGTGTTGTTCATAGCTTAGCTAAGTTAAGTAGCTCTTTTAGTGAGTATCGAGTATGGTTAGCATAGTATCCCCCGGAAATTCATAGGGTGATTTGTAAATCATCTCAAACTTTTGATGATGAATTTATAAAGCTAAGCTCGGTTATGTGTAAAAAAAACAATAACAAAAACAAAAAACAAATTTATAAGTAAACATTTTCTTGTAGAGTAGAATATAAAATTTAGAAATGATAATTTTAAAAAAAAAAAATCTAACTTAGAATAATAAAAGAAATATAGAAAATTGAAAAACAAAAAGAGTTTGGATTAGATCTTAAAAAATACACGATAACATTTTTAAAATCATAAAGTAATATAAAAAATTATTTTTAAAATGTAAATTAAAAAATTATCAAATCCATACAAATGGTTTATGGACCTAATTCAAAATATAACCATAACAATACTAAGTATTTAAAAAAAAACTACGGAAACGAAAAAAACAAAAAAAGTGTTTTAATTTTTTATTTTTTATTTTTGTATATAGTCTAAGCTTCCAAGTTAAGGAAACAATAAAACATAATGATATATTTTAAGGAAACTATATAAACTTACAATATTAACCTAGATTTTTGAAAAAGCAAAAAAAAATATATAGAAGAAATTTAGAATTGAAAATAAAAAATCAAATAGCAAATCTTCCAACTTGAAAATTTAAAAAAATATTAAAAGATCTTTTAAAAAATCTAAATGAGATTTAATACGACACAATTCATTTAAATCATAGAAAAAAGATTTAAAAAAAACCAAATATTTTTCATAATTAACTTTGTAAAGAATAAATATCAAAATCAAGCTTAAAAATTATAAAGCATTCTTAAATAAAAACGGACATAAAACGAAAACAAAATAAATTAAAACTACATGTCTAAATTTAAAACATTGGAAAAAAATGTACATATTTTAAAAAAAGATCCATACAAAATTCCAAACAACAATTTGCTTTAAAAATTAACTAAATTGAAAAATAATCAAACAAAAAAAAGCATTTTGTATACAAATTGAAAAAAAAATGTATAATTTAATTAAAAACCACAATTTTAATGTATTGAAATTATAAGTAACGAAATTAAAAAATATTGTACAATGAAAATAAATTAAAAAAAATCTATAGACACGAAAAAAAGAAAAATATTTATATAAAAAAAATTATGCAGACCTTTTGTTTCAAAAAAAAAATTAGAAGAAAATATAAAGGAGAATTCGTTTAAGAAATGATGATAAAATTTTAGGATAAACTTATTGACTTGAATGTCAACATAATCATATAATCCTTTTTGATAATGTAGGACATTAAGACACATGCCATCATATTCACTTATATTTATATAATAGTGTACTTTTTGTAGGTTTTATTATTATTATTATTATTATTATTATTATTATTATTATTATTATTTTGTAAATAGATAAATTATATTTATTGAACTTAAACTACTTTTACCAAACTAAATTTATTTTTACTAATCAAAACTTATTTTCACAGCTTACTTATTAATTTTTAAAAATAAATTAAATTTATTATAAATGGATCTTATTTTCAAGAAACTTTTAAAAAGAGTTTTATGATGGAAATAGAATATATTTGTAAGATATTTATTAAAATTTATGATTAATTATTATATATGAAATATAATAAGTATAATGATAATAAAATTCTATAAATATTTTTAATTAAATAATCTATCCAAAATTTGCTTACTTTAATCAGCATAATATGTGTCACGATAATACCTATTTATTGCTTACGTGGCGAGACACCTAGCAATTAATTGAAATGCCAAGTGTTAATGTCTCGTGGCCTGGCTACAAGATCCGTCTTTTTTATTATTAGTGATATGAAATTAGCATAAAAGGTTTCAAGAAAGAAAATGGAGCAAGTAATAAATACGAACATAATATTAAATAAATGGAGCACATGATCTTAGTTAAGAGAAGGATAAACATTATACCCAAGAATATTTTTATACATACATGGAAGAATATAATCTTGTTTTAATAAGGAAAATTTTAATTTAGTTGATTGGAAAACATATTCAGTTAAATTTATAATAGGAAATTTTTAAACAAAGAAACACATATTTGATTTAGAAAGTTACTAAATTGTAAAAGAAGATGGCAGATTAGATTTTTTTTTTTTTTATTAAACATTGTATTATAAGCCAATATAGTTATTATGGTCTTTTAAGGAGGACACCAAACCCTTTCCCTTGGCGTATAAAATATAGTTAAATTTATTAAACAATACATAATAACATAGAAATGAGTAATAAAGAGTAATAAGGTAAGTAGAATAAACGTTTTAGCTTGCTATTTAATTAAGGGTATACAACAACTTATAAATAAAGTCATAAAATATAAAACGCAAATGGATCATCCATCCAAACTTGAAAATTATCCCCTTAATTTTACTAGCTAACAATTAAAATTATTATTTTTTTTCTTTTTTTTTTCTTAACCAACTAAAAATAGTTAATTAACTTTGAGTTTCGCAACGACATCCACTATTGAATACCTAAGGTGGCAAATTGCCTCTAAAGGCTTTTCCTTAGGACCAATATTAACACCACTCTTTACGGTCAAGTCTACTAATCCATCCTTAGGTGCTTCCCAATCAAAACATTGGATAAGAGTCGCCAAAGTCAAAGTGATGTTCCTAATAGCAAAGGCGCTCCCCGGGCAAGACCTCCTCCCAATTCCAAAGGGCAAAAACTTGTACCCCTCGATCTCATAAGCAAATCTCTCTGGCTTAAACACATTCGGCTCGTCCCATAGGCTAGGGTCCCTTTGTATCGCCCAAGCATTGACATAGAGCATAGTACCTTTTTTTACATGGAACCCTCCAATAGTGCAGTCTTTGGACGAGTAATGTGGGAATAATAGTGGTGCAGGTGGGAAAAGTCTTAAAGTCTCATACATTATCCAACGTATGTAGCTCAATTTCGGTACATCAGATTCGTTTACGAGTCTTCCTTTGCCTACGATTAGATCAATTTCTTCCCTTGCTTTTGCAATGATTTTTGGGTTGTTTATGAGGTTTGACATTGCCCACTCCAAGGTTTGAATTGTTGTTTCTGATCCGGATAGCAGTTGCATCTGATATATATGGATAATCATATGATTTTATAAGTAACACTCCCTCCATTTATTTATAAAAGGAAATTCTATTAATTCCTAATTCATATTAATTCCTAGTAAGACAACATTTCATTTTTAATATTAATGCTTGAGGTAGTATGAGATACACACTTTTTAGTAGAAGAAAGTTCACTTTGTTGGTCAAGGTTCATCACAAAAACATGTGACATCGAAATAAGTAGCTTCTAAGTCTTATAAAATATCGTACTCATTTTTTTAAATAATCAATGTGGGATAATTACATTGGTTGATGTAGAAGTCCATATTTCAACAAAATTTACACTTCCCCTCATATTATCAACACTATATTAATGCATGTCTATTTCTTGTGATGAGCCATTGTCGTCTCTACTTATGATGATGGTGATTGATGAACCATAAATTAAGCAATAATAATATGGGGATACTAAAAACGACCAAAGTAGTCAAACATTTTCCTCACAAATAAATATTGCGTTTACTAATTTTTTCCATAATAATTAAGGCAAATTAGGATAAAATCTTTTCTTATCTTTTTTCATCTTAAAATAATTCTTCTGTCTTAAAGAGTTTCTAGTTCCTAAGGAATCATATAATTATATTAATTATTTTCATTTTCTTAATTGCCTCTTTATTATTTCTATTTGCCACATCACTTTCCACATACAATTTGTGACAACTTTTTAATTTTATCAATCACATATTGCAACCTTTAGCATTTTTATTGAATCTTAATTATGAATTTTTTATATATAATTACATGTATCAAAGCTAAATTATCACAATTAATAAAATTTTTGAGGAATTAACAAAGCTTTATTGCTATAGGCAAAGGGAGTAATCTTACCAAAATGAAGCTTTTGATAAATTCATCTGTGTAGCAATCAGGTTCCGCTTCCTGCAAGTCTAGCAATTGTTCAATTAAATTTTTTGTCACAACTTCTTCACCACAAGATGATCCTCTTCTAATACTTTCTCTACACTCATCAAGCAAATTTTGTAAATACTCATCTCTCTTCTTCCAAAGCTTTTTCAAATTCTTCTCTATCCCCCCAAAACCTACCCACCTCAAAATGGGAAAGAAATCACACATTGTCATAGAACTAGGAGGTGTCAAATCCATGTTATCCCATGGCTTCCCATTTACTACCCACATCACAAAGTTGTGCGCTACCTTATTAAATATTTTATTTAAGTTCACTTTTTGGGTCCCACCCTCGGACTCGGTTAGAAGATCTAAGATCATGTTATGGATCTCAGCTTTTCGGGTGGGGCTTGCTTCATTAAGCTTACGAACAGAAAACATTGTTAAGACCCCAATACGTCGGAGATTCCTCCAATGGTCCCCATATGGAGACCATATAAGGATGGAAGAGTTGTATCCTAAAACTTCACCCACAATGAACTTAGGTCGGTCAGCAAATACAATGTCGTTTCTATTGAGGCATTCCTCGACGGCCGATAGAGAAGAGACAACCAAAAGGGGCTGAAAACCCAAACGCAAGGAGAAGATTGGACCGTAACGTTCTGAGAGGGTTAAGAGTATTTTGTGGAAAGGGGGTTTGAGTAGGTGTAGGTGGCCCCATATAGGACTTGATGGTGGACTTGGTGGGAGGTTCTTGTCCTTTTCTTTAGAGGGCCATAGGATTTTGTAAAGGAAGATTATTATTGCAAAAAGAGATGGGTACAAGTACATTTTCTCCATTTCCATGGATTTTTGTTGTATGAATATGGTTGTTTGTGATAAGGGTATCGTTAAATTGGAAAGTAGGTGAGAGTATTTATAATCAAACGGGTAAATGGTCACGATATAAGGCAATAAATAAAAATTCCTTGGTCTTATGTATTGGTCAAAGATGATGACAATGCATGTGAGGCATGTGGGCTTGTGACAGTTAAGAAAATAAAAATAAAACAATATTTTTTTTAGGAAATTAAAGATTCTTAACATGCAAGGAAGATATTTATACTTAAAAATGGGTAAGATCAATTTGATTATATCCTAATATGATTTTTTAAAAAAGTTAGTAAATATTTAATGAGTAAATAAAAAATTAACTATCTTAAATCTATTTAATTGATAAACATTTAATTTTTGAATGAAAGTATTTTCTATGATAAAAAAAAGGAAAATGTTTAAATTACCACCCAAAAATGTATCCATTTTTAAAATAACCACCCGTTTAATTTTTTATTTTATTTTACCACCTTTTAAATTAACTAGGGTATCCTACGCGCACGATGAGCGCGAAAGAGTTAGCTCTTGTATATTTAATTGATTTGCATCCCTTCATATCTTAAGCTAGTTTAGAACTCTTAATTGATTTGCATGTTTCAATAATACTTAACGTATTTTTTCTTCAAACGAATTTTTTTGTGAGCTTGGTCATACGGAGTAATAATATGTGATTTGTTCGTTGTAGCTAAAAACTTAATAATGTAAGTTCAGTGTTCTACGACCATCTAATATCTATATCTATATCTAATACTAAAACAATAACTACTTAGTTATATTTTTCCTCTTAAATTCTCTCCATATGTAATACATTTTTTTTCTATCATCGATTTCCTTCGATTTTAGGATTTTAAAGTTATTTATACCTCTTGATAACATCTGCTCAAATATCATTATTTAATATGAATGTCATTTAAATTCCACGTTGTTTATGTGCGTGCCATCAAATAATGTACAATTAAAAAGCTAATAAACCTTAACAATTTGTAATAATTAAAGGACAACAAAATTGTAAATAAGAAGAGCAACCACAAAGGAGTAAAAATAAATCATCTCGTGGTAATAAACAAAGTCTTCGTACATACAAATTTTTTTCCTTTTTAAATAACAATAATAACATATGAAGTACAAAACATTATAATTTTTTTATTTAAAAAAAAGGCATTACAAGTTTTCGTTTAAAAAAACTTTGTATTAATTGATGGTATGTTTAATGAAAAAAAAACCCAATTAAATATATTAATGAGAGTAAACATATTAATGAGGGTAAAAGTAAATATACATTTTTGTACACAATTTTGTACATATTTTTGAGGGTATAATTGGTAGCACACTATTCCTAAGAGTAATTTTATACTTTTTATAACGTAGGGAAAAACTACTCAGATTACCACCCATTGCAAAATTCTGGTGGATTTCTGGCATGTGGACCTACCCAATGGCTAGTAACGGCTAAATTACAATCAACCATGTCTTCATTCCACCTCCCCTTTAAACCAGTTTATTTTTAGTACAAGACAACCTAATATAGAACCAAAAGAAAACAAGTAAAAAAAACCAAGAGCTTGCTATCTAAATTGCCACTACTACTGATCATCTTCTTCCTGTTACCACTAAGAGTTGTTAGGTGGGGCCCACATAAGAGAAATCCACCGGAATTTTGAAATGGGTGGTAATCTGAGTAGTTTTTGAATTTAAGGGGTGGTAAAATAAAAATAAAAATTTAACGGGTGGTTATTTTGAAAATGATACATTGTCCATTGCAAGTGAAATAAATGATGTCAATTTATAATAATAAAAAGGTCACCTATGAGATTCGAACATGCAAACTTTAATTGTAAAACTAAGTGTCTTACGACCAAGCTATGTCACACATTATGTTAGTTTTTAAATGTAAACTATTAATAAGTAGTGAATGACAATAAGAATAATAAATTTCTTTTGAGAAAGTTATGAACAACCCCATGTAATAACCCGAGGCATTGACCAGGCCCAAATACTAGTCAATTTCTTAAAAGCGTGCCAAGATTGTTTATTGCATTTAATAGCAAAGGAAATTTTGTCAAGAACTACCAATTAAAGTGCATGTTTTGAATTAAATACCTATTTTTTTTTTCAAAATCAACTACCTTAAAGTTATAAAAAGTTTAAGTAGCTAGCACTACCACTCTAATAATTCTAACTGAATATTCGTCATGTATGTAGGTTCCAGTTTTTACCTTTACCTCATAAAATAACCATCTAAATTTACTAAATTACTCTTCATAAAGGTGAAAAGTGGTAAAAAGTGGAGATTCTAGACAAAATTGTTAGAGTGGTAGTGCTACTTAAACTTTTTACAACTTTGTGGTAGTTCTTTTTTTAAAAAAAAAATTTAATAAGTAGTTGTCTTTAAAACTCGTGCTTTAATTGGTAATTATTGACAAAAAAAACCAATAGAAAATAAAGAATGTATTTAATTTTTAAAAAGTTGTTAATGTTGGCACTTTGTTCAACATAACATCCAGGTTGTCTCTAAAGCACTGAATGAGCGGTTTCATACTACTTACTTCATTTTGAAATAGTTAACAAGCTCTTTTGGACATTTTAGTCTAAGAAAATGATAGACGGTGATCACAAAAAATGAATGTAAAATAAATTTAAAGGGTTTGTGTAGGAAATATTTGAAATATAAACTTTGAACCTCACTGTAATCATGCTTTTAAGCATGGAGGCGTCCAAGGAGAAGGAAGCTAGAGATAAAAGAGTTGCTTACAAGTTTTAGGAACTTGTAAGTCGTTTACGGGTATAAAGGTTACACTCCATTCACGATCACGGAGATCGCTAACTCCATAGTGGTCCGGAACCATGACTGGATATTCGAAGATGATGGTATGAATCCAACCTAAAAGAGATTAAACCTGCCATAAATCGGCCTCTACTTAATTCTTATGATATTCACGTGCGCTTTTCAATCAACATACATTTATCAAATTAATCCTTAGCATATTTAATCTACGTTGGTTGATTATTAATGCACAAATATATTTATTATTGGGGATCACTTGAATTAAAATCATATTAGCTTAAATCAAATTATTAATTATCTTATTAGGCGTGATTCCAAATACCAATTTTCTTTAATCCTGCAAGAAGAGGTTTGATCAATTAAGCAATAATAATAAATAATGAATAATCAAGCAATGTGTAATTGACACAACAATTATCATCATATTCAAAATCATTAAAACATGATTAGCAAGATCTAGGCATGATATCAAACAGAATAATAACAAATCCAAGCATGTCAGTAATAATAATGATCAAAGCTTTATCCTAAATATGATACTAAAACATGATATTAGAAATATTAAAAGCATCCTAAACATGATACTAGGAATCAACATCAACATCCTAACATGATACTAGGAATCAAAATCAATGTCCTAACATAGTACTAGGAATTAGCATAAGATTCTAAGCATGATTTCCATATCAAAGGATTAATTAAGCGATTAGATTACTCACTTTGATGCCTCGTATCTCTTTTTATCAAAACAATACACACGTTAGTAAAATTCAAGAAAGATTAAATAAAATAAATAATCAAATAGGAATTGAAATATAGATTAGGGACCAAACCCTCGGAACTATCAACCTTTCACATCAAGGTCGAAGACAACTAAGAGTTTGGCTAGGAGTATTCGAGGCTCGTGAAGCACGTATGATGTTTTATTAGGAAAGGTATCGAGGATGCGTGTTTGAATGTGTCGGAATGTGTTTAGGATAAGGCTAAGCTAGAAATCAAGAAAGAGAGAGAAGAACAATAAGCTTTAGCTTAGAGAGGGAGAAGAGATGATGATTGTTGGTGAATGAAAACGGGGTAATACGACCTCTATTTTATAGGGAAAAAGATGGTTGAAGATTAGAAAAGAGTCAGATTCTGACTCAAAATAAAACATAATCTATCACGGCGCCCCACCTTTGCCACGGAGCGACAGGCTCATTGCGGTGCGACATCCTTGTCGCGATGTGGCGATTCTGTGGCACAAATTGGGTTAATTAAATTCTCGTACGTGTTCTACCTTGACCGGATTAAATTCATTGAAAAACAAATGCTTTATCCGATGTAAAACTCTTGAGCCTTTATTTTTTCGAAAATAGGATAAATTATACTTTCTAAGAGATTCTAGAAGCTAATAACAAATCCTAAGGGATTTAGGATCGAAAATAACATTCTAGGGGATTCTAGAAGCTTATAATAAATCCTAATTGATTTAGGAACGAGTTTAAGGTTAACGGACCCTCCACGTGATCATTGGGTCGTAGACTCATAGGTAAGGCTCGGTCGTAGACTCGTTGGTAAGGCTCGGTTTAGTATTTTGGCCATAACTTCTTTGTTATAAGTCGGATTTGGGCTTATAATATATCGTTGGAAAGATCTTTTCAATCCCCATCCAACTATACTATTATGGGACCAATATTATGGACTAAAATAAACTACTTTGGAAGTTTTTTCATGAAATGAATGATTTTAGGAACACGAAATAAATGATTTTAATTTGATTTTAAACATTTTAGGTAAGGTTAAAAATGGTTAAAGCTAAAGGAAAATTCACAAGACTCTTCTACTCTTTGCCTAACTCGATAATCAAAGACGTGAAAGGTACTCATCATGGGGTTTGATTTTTGGGGAGACACAATCAGATGTCTATAATTTGACTTATTTTACTAAAAAGTGGGATATCTAAAAGTGAAATAAATAAGTATGCCATGGTGCTCCCTAAAGTATCTATTATTCTTTACAAAAAAGTATCTATTATTCTGAAATGAACAACGACAGAGTAAAGTGTAGCAGTTATTCTAAAACGGGGAAGCACTGACAAAGTCACGATTATGCCAATTGCTCAAACACATATTCTACGCACTTATTACTTCCCCCATTATTCCAAATTAGACGACACATTTCTTATATCACGTTTATCAATGCATAACTTTAATTAAAATTATATTTAATTATGCCATTTTTAAAAAACTAAATACTGCATTTCTATTAAGTACACATTGAAATACACCTAACAAGATCTCACATGTGATAACTTTTTTTTTTCTCTATAAATCACAAATTTTAGTTAAAGATAACTTGTGAATATCCTTAAAATGCAATGTAAATGATTAGAGTTGAGAGGAATGGTAATACTTTACATTGTTGTTTTCACTTGCTACACTTCATTTCAGGCTTGTCAATTTCTATTTATATTAATTACTAGTATATATAAGTTTTACAGGATTTGTCTTGCATGTATCCGCTCAGATGTTTAGGGTAGTAATGCTATACTTCAAATTTGTAGTTTAATCAAAGCATGTTGTAATAAGGCTTTAG